TGCATATAGAGGAAGCAGACTATGCATATAGGGGAAGTAGACTGAAGTCTATGAGATTCATGCTGCCAACCTCTTTATTTCAGCCTCTTCTGATTTAAATTTTAATTCGGGTGGCATCCTGATATTATTGCAGCAATTTTGCTGCCGAATCTGCTTCCCAGGTCCATCCCCACACCCAGGAGTGCTCTGGCGTCCATTTTCTTAAGCCAGAAAACTCCTGGTTTCAAAAAGAGGCAGGCTGAGCCTCTTTTTGAGGGAGATGGGCATGGACCCAGGATGGACCTAGACAGCAGATTCAGCAGCAAAATCACTGCAATAATATCAAGATGCTGCCCGGATTAAAATTTAAATTGGAAGAGGCAAGACAATTTAAAAAGCTGCATGATAAGCTCCTTACTGGGTTTACTTTTGGGACTTATTCTCTGCACAATTTCTGAGTTGCAGTTTTGCACAGAAAACAGTGTTTTCAAGAGAGAGAAGCTTTGTCCATACAGAAAATCATATTTCTTCACATAAACGTTATTTTCTGTGCAGAAAAAGTTGTTTTCTGCACAGAAAAGGCTGCTTTCTGAACAAAGCAATCATGTGCAAATTTTGTGCCAAATAAATCTTGTGTTGTGAAGATTCTCTTCATTGCAGGATTATTCTTGTTCTCAATACCTGAAAGCCATGATTTTTAAAAATAATTTTTCACATATTTTCAAATGTTGTTTCTATCTCTTTTGCCAAGTGGGTGCCATCTTTGGAACAGCAGCCGAGGAATTAGAAAGAGAATACTTGCATTGCTTCCTAGGCTGAGGTTTCCGCACAGTCGTGGCCTGACAACAATGCTTATGTCTCTGTGGAAGTGATGACATTTGGCTACCGGGGCAATATTTACATGAGGAAAATTGAATGCATGCAGCTTTCATGAAGCTGGCTGACACATGCATTTGCTTTTCAAAACTTAGTTCAAAATATTTTCTTGACATCTGACTATTTGGAGAGAATGAGCTCAATCTGTTTATTTGTATAGTTACCTCAATGATGTCAGCTCTTTCTTGGCAAGAAATTATTGTAATTTAGCTTTCGCAAGTTGAAATGGCATTCAAGGAAAGAGCAGATGCTGAAGCCTGGTGACTTCCCAACCACCTGGTTGTTTTGCCTCTTATTTATTTCCCACATCTATATGTCATCCAACCCCCAAGGAATCAAGGACCGCCTACCTAGGCTTATCTTTTCTTCACAGGAACCCTGCAAGTTGCATCAGAGTGAAGGAGAAGGATTTTCCAAAGGCCAGATTATGATCTGAATGAGTATTAATGTTGCTGTGTGCCTTTGAGTTGTTTCTGACTTATGGCAACACTAAGGTGAACCTATCATGAGGTCTTCTGGGGCTGAGAGTGTGTGATTTACCCAAGGTCACCCAGTGGGTTTCCATAGCTGAGCAGGGATTTTGTAGCTCCTTTGAGCACCTCAAAGCACCTTTGGGACTGACTGTAAAAGAAATTGTAGCATAAACCTTCATAGATTTGGTCTCCTTCCTCAGATCTGGCAAGGCAAATCTGATGAAGCGGACCAAATCTGACTCAGAATGTCTGAGTAGAAGTTGATCTCCTAACTCTGCTTTCCTTTGGAAATGCAAAGAATTCCACTTAAGCGTTGAGGAATAAATGAAGGAGAAGATATCAAACACCAGTGGTCACCCAGTAGGTTTCCATGACCAAGCAGGGATTTGAACCCTGGTCTCTTAGAGTCATAGTCCAACACCCAAACTATTAGACTACACTGGCTCTCCATGCTCTATGTACCCAGCTCCATTAACAATCTGGTTACATCTCTTTGGACCACCTCAAGTTTCTGAACATTTTTCAAAGGCAGCCCCACAATGAGTGCATTGCAAAGGAGAAGTAACTAAGGTCCAAAACACACTGCAGAAATAATCTAGTTTGAGATGGCTTTAACTGCCCTGTAGTTTTGTGAGACACTGAATTTCACAGACAGACAGATACAAGGGCACGTGCAACAAACAAACTGTTGTGGTCAGGCGGAGGAGTGAGAGGAAGATACTTAGATATACACTAATTCCCATTTGTTGGACTGGAAGTCAATCTGGGTTTGTTTTATTGAGCAAATAAAACTCTAAATGACCCTGTGTTTTCCCCTCTAGACATTGTGAGGGGCTTGTTTATTGGAAACTTCATTGGCATGGCTGGAATCGATGGTTAGAACAGGAGAGTTGATCGGCCCATTATATACTACTTAGAGGGATAATGGGGGAATTTTAAGAGCATTGATGACAATTTGCAGACAGAATGATGGATGGAAGGGGAATGGAAGGCATCCTGCAATCTGGTGTGATGGAATGAGTGGAGACAGACTCAAAGGGCATGTAGTGGAGTGGGGCCTGAGAGAAAAGAAAATGAAGTTCATAACCAGTGGATCAGAGATGACTTGTTGCATGCCTTCAAGTCATTTCCAGCTTAGGATGGCTCTGAGGCAAATCTATTTTAAGGTTTCCTCAGATTTGTTCAGAGGAGGCCTGCTTTTGCCTTCTGCAGAGGCTGAGAGAGTATGGAAAGGAATTTTTTTTATAAACTTAAAGAGAGAGAGAGCTTGTCCTCTGCTGCTCCAAAGACAAGAACATGAACCATGGATTCAAATTACAAGGAAAGAGACCCTATACCAGTGTTTCTCAAACTTTGAACTTCCAGCTGTTTTGGACTTCAGCTTTCAAAAGAACTAGCCATTTGGGCCAACAATCAAGAATTCTAGGACCTGGAGTCCAAAACATCTGAAGGATCAAAGTTTGGGAAACACTAACCTAGACCTTAACTACATTCCATTCTTTTACTGGTGGACTCCTTACAATGCTGAAAATATTCTTTTCTCTCAAAGAGGTTTTGGAAGCTAAGCTTTGCTTAGCTGAAACATTAACTATTCTCGGCATGAAGCCGTACACTTTCTAACATCTGTCCTTCCCTGCCAGCTTGTTAGCTTCCATTTAACACCACACGACTGCTGCCATTTTAAGGAAGGAGGTAACACAAATATTCCAACCATCGCCACATGCCTTCTGCTCCCTGGTCTTTGGATCTTAAATCCTTTTCTATATTACAGTCAAAATGTAATGACCTAACACTGTGGAGCTGGCTGAGTCTGCAAAACATCTGCTGGAAGATTTCAAGTCCCCAAACTAGGGTAATATAGATCCTCGAAACAAATGTTGTGTATCCTGGGAAGAAGTGCTACTACCATTTATTGTGCAAATTTAGTTCAGGGCATCTGTCTCGCAGTGCCTGAATCTTGTTTATTAGCCTAAGTATAGTAGACCCATTGAATTAATAGATGAATAGTGAATCAGTATTTATATATCTGCATTTGATTCAGTGGATCTACTCTAGATACCAGTAAGATTTAGGGAATGATATAGATTTTGGTAAGGAAGCCACAGCCCTGAATTTCCAAGACCCAAGAAGGTTTGTAGATAACAAGGTGACTTGGAAGTCTCTCATGCACAGGGTCACAATAAATCAAAGTTGACTTGATGGTTATTGACAACAATAGAGTAAGAGCTGTTCAATTGTGCATCATATGATTTGCACACAGAAGATCCCAGGTTCAATTCCAAGATACTCCAGAAAAAGTCAGGAAAAATCCTTACACCTTAGAGATTCTCTGCCACTAAGTAACAATAATGCTGAGCTAGAAATCAATGGTGTAGTGGTTTGAGCAGGGGTAGGCAACCTTTCCCCTTTAAGGGCTGAGGGACTTCAGCTCCCAGAATCCCAGGAGCTATTGGCCAACATGGGACTATTGGCCAACATGGCTGAGGCTTCTGGGAGCTGAAGTCCCTCGGCCCTTAAAGGGAAAGGTTGCCTACCCCTAGGTTTGAGTATTGGACTACAACTCTGGAGACTAGGGTTTGATTCCTATAGAAATGCACTGGGTGACCTTGGGCAGGTCACACCCTCTCAGCCCCAGAAAACCCCATGATGGGTTCGCCTTAGAGTAGCCATAAGTTGGAAACAACGTGAAGGCACACAACAAGAAGTAGGAAGATTACTGATCATCTTCTATGTAAGGCAGTTTCCTATGTTCCTGTTATTAATTAATTAATTCTCCTCCCTAACTAGGGATAGGAAGAATATTCAAAAAATATGTCTACAGTCTCAAGAAATCCTGATGAGAAGAACTGTAGACAAATGAGAAACTTCACAGTTCAGGTTTATTCATCACAAAATTTGCATGTGCTTATTTTATGCTAAAACAGCATTTTCTGTGTGGGGGAAAATAACATTTTGAAGGCAGGAAAAAAGCATCTTATGCACAGAAAATAACATTTTTGTGTGAATGTATTTTTTCTTCTCCTAAAATGCCACATGTCAGTTTAGCAAAGAATTAAGTCTTGAATTGTGAATAGATTCAAAAATTACACAGTTTCTAAAAATGTTTGTGCAGTATTTAGAAAATTTAGAAAATTAATAAAAGTACTCATTCCAACCTTTGAAAAGAAAATTAACAAAAACATTACGTCCCTGTCCCTAACCAATACAGGAGTATGTCCCTGTCCCTATGAGCATGAAGTTTTGCTGGCAAGACTGATTTCTCACTTGGTATAGGATTGCCAGAGGTCAAAGGTCTCACCAAACTACAACTCCCAGGTGCCAGAGGATGCAGCCAAGGCAGTTAAAGTGGAATCATTCTGTTATAACTATGTAGTGTGGAAGGGCCCCAGTCTCCAGAATAGAGCTTCATGTGTCGAAAGAATTTCAACTCTTCAGAGAAGGATTGGTTTTGAAGTTTCAATGAGTAGCTGAAAGTGAAGGAAAGGTACTAGTCAAGATACCCGTCCTTTGCTCTGTTTCTCAGTTTAAACAATCTTTCACTTGACCTTTAGTATGACATTTATTTTTGAGTTGGCCTTTATAATCCATTAATAGATTTTTGCTTTCTGTTGAACCACAGCTATCTTTCGCTATCACACTCACTCCTCTCTAAGCTCCGTTTTACTTCTTGTGCAACTTGATGGATGTCATTTACCAGTTGCTAGCGATGGAGGGATCTAGCTAGTTCCATTCCTACCAGTCTCCCATGTGTTTATTTGTAAATCGATCACATCCCATCCCTGCTGTGTTAATTTTGTTTTTAATAAAATCTGTACACAATTTGGATTGAAATAAACATGCATTTTGAGTGTCTTTCCTGACAAATACTTATAAATGTATTTTATGCCAAAGTGCACTTTTAGAAACAAGATTAGAAATCATGTAGTACTCCAAACATTGCTGGACAACAAGAAGTTTGTGACATCTGTATTTACCTATATCTGAGGAAATAACAGATGGGCATCAATTTTGCAATGGTCGAGTGACTGATGCACCATGGCACAAATGTACAATATGTAACTGGACATTTGGTCGGAAGTTTTAGAACAGAACAGGAACACTTGATGTGCATCAGAAATGCCCAGTGCTCACCAGAAGTGCCCAGTGCTCATCAGGAGTATCCAATGTGCATCAGAAGTGTCCAGTGCTCATAAAAAGGGTCCAATGCCCATCAGAAGTGACTGATGCACATTGGAGCACTCTTGCAAGTGACCATTATGTTTCTACTATGTACTTATGGATTGATAATACAAGGAGATCCCATGGATTTTCTAATATGTTCTTAAGCAAGTAGTTGCTTTGTCATTCCCTTCATCTGAAATATAGTCTACCGTATCTGGTATTTTTTTGGCAGTCCTCCATCCATGTACTAACCTGGCCTGATACTCCTTAGCTTTTGTGATCAACCAGGATCTGATTCTTACAATATTCAGGTTATTTAGTGAATCAAAATCCAAATATTCTTCTCCAAGGTCACAACTAACAAAGCAGAGACTCACATCAGACCATACTAAGTCTAACTTTCCTGGTCTAGAATCCTTTGTCACAGTGTACATAACATTATGTATGCTTAGCTATGTAGCAGAGGTACTCAGAAACTCTTTTAGTAAATTGTGAAGATGCACAACAGGACACCAGTGAGAATGATTTGATGTGTATCAGAACTCTCTAGTCATTATCCCAATGCACAGCATGTAGAGAGATCTTGTAGCACCTTTGAGACTAACAAAAATAAAGAAGTTGGTAGCATGAACTTTCGTAGACTTCAGTCTCCTTCCTCTACTTCCTTGACTAAATACATCTATGGAAGTAGACTGAAGTCTGGGAAAGCTCTTGCTGCCAACTTCTTTCTTTCAGTGAGTCTCAAAGGTGCTACAAGATCTCTCTACATACTGATTCTACAGACGAACACAGCTATATCTTTGAATTCTCCCAATGCACAATGAGACCAGTGAACAGTGGGACCAATGTGCCTCTGTCCCAATGTGCATTGGTCTCTTTTTGCATCAGTCCTATTGTGCATCATTCACTTTGCCACTTTCTCTGCATAGTAGCCCTTTACTGGGGACAGATGTTATGATACTGCCCATTTATAATTCCTGCAGAAGTTAGTCCACTTGCAAAGACATCAGTTGCCCAGCAAGATTCCAGCGATTGATTCATAAGGAAAGCTTATATTCACCCAGCATATGTTGTTACACTTACAGACCCTGGCAGTGGATTTTCTGAAGGGCTCGTGAATTAGACAAAGGGTAGCAGGTGTTAGTTAGGCTAAATTGACCTTGAAATTGATTTCTTTATTTTATGACTTTCTGAAAAGAGATTAGCACTACTTCTTTCTTCCTTTGCAATGTGAAATAATTTACATAGTAATAGATGGTGCAGACAGTCAAATAAATTGCTGG